TGGGCGGATGGCTTGCAGCTTAGACAATGCTGACTCTGGATTGAACCACAATGATGGGAAAAAAACGTCAGATTAGGAAGTGGGCGTCCCCAGAAAAGTGAAGAATCACCCGCAAATGGAACACACACCCAACTAGGGATTCATGAATACTGCGCAGCCCTGCCGCAGATTGACATGAAAACAGAAACACCATCATTGTGAGTGAGAGGAATCTCCTTCTGGGACGCTTCTTTGGGTTTCCAAATATGTGTCCACATTAAATCTGCATGGGAGTAACATCAAGAACCCGCCAACCGTCAATCGGCAGCCCACTGCGCGAGTCGCCTGCATGACCTGCAGCAAGTCCCGGGCAATAGTGAGCGGCAAGAGGCTGCCCGTGCTCACCCCTTGAAAGTCCACCAGCAGCACGAACTTCCGTGCCACCGGGTCCTCCGGAATCCAGAATGGACAAAACCAAAAGCAAAGCCTGACACAATCAGATTCCGCCTCGATGGATCTGAGTGCAGGTGCGAAAGCAGGCCAAAGGAGCGGAGGACTCGTGCTTCAAAGTGGGGTCTCTCCTTCTGTAGTGATGTAAACGGGTAACCTGCATGTACGTTGAAGGCAGCCAACGACTTTGTTTACGATTTGCATTGCCATGACTGCCAATGAACCACCTGGGATCAAAGGACCATTTATCGTCAATGCAGTTTGGGAAGCTGAGCTTGTCTGTGGTCAAATGTCCCTGCCCACGGCGTCCTCAGGATGCAAAACCAGGTGGCCCAGCTTGGCCTGTTTCTCCAGGCAAGCGATCGCCTCGGGTGAAACGCCACAGACATTGCGTCACAGGGACCTTTGAAGCTCGGACTCTTTGCAAACACCTCAAAGTGGATCACTTCTGTATGCCGATGCTGCACCATGAGCCTGAAAATGATAGACAAACGAGCAAAGTAGCCTCTTCGGCCCATGTGGTTGAAGACCGATTGCTGTTAGGCTGTCTTTAGCAGACCGTGTGCCAGTGACACCACAGTTCAACAATGCCAGGTCACGCGTTCGACACAGTAGACCAGGTACTTCACGCCAGCGTGCTCTGCGTTGAATCCTTGTCCTCCAGGCTTGAAGTACAACGCTGGCCTGCCCTTCTTGTCGTAGCCCCTGACCTCAGGCTACGAAACTTACCCGGTGATGCACATTGCCATGCTGCGGGGGCAAGGTGCAAGACCTACCATGAGTGGACCAGTCACCGACACCCAATCTCCAAACAACAGTCCACGGAGTCCACTGAAACCAAGCGTGGCACCTCCAAAAACCTATCGCACAATTGCCAGCCCCCCATACCCATGGCAGTTCCTCCTCTGCAACAAGTGAAGTTCTATTTAATATATTCAATAGCCGCGGCACGTAAATGTTTGCGAGGCGACACTCCCTCTCCAGTTCCTCTGTGATGGGCTTGAAGACGTCGGCAAAGCCAAAGTCCTGTACCCACGCCGGATTGAGCTCTCAACAATTCAGGCCAATTGCGCAGAGATGATGCAATCAGCGCAGTGAAAAAACTTGTCAAAAGCTATGATATCACTTCCGTTTCGTCCACTTGCTGCATAACTTGGCATCCAAAAACTAGTCATAGTCGGCAGACGTCGTCGCAGGTTGTTTCCCATTCCCGGTCATTGCCCGAATCTCTGAAAGCTGCCTTCCGCCACTCACCAGTTCTCTGGATGAGAGCTTCAGCGAGCTCCACGTTCCAATTCCTGGCCACAGGGGCTGATGGCCAAGGCGCACCAGTGCCAAATTGAGGGTCTTTGAACAGATGCAAATTTCCCATCCTTTGGGCCTTCTGGGAATGTAGCACCCGAAAACGGTTCATTTACGCAGACACCTAAGGGAAGCACACGTCCAACTCCAAAACCCAAGATTGGAGCAGCAGCCGTGAAAACAATCCGCTTCTCTTTGCAATGCTACTTCGCACGTGCCCGTAGTCTTGGCACACATACCGCCTGTTCCAAAATCCCTCAAGATGCACATCAACACAACCACGAGACCAGGCAAGTTGCTTGCCATCATCAGCTAGCTGTTCCACGAAGAAAACTCCCTTACTTGTCCGCCTTAAGACGTGAATTAAAACCGAAAGTTCGGGCCATTTCGGGCCGACGATATCCTGCGCCAGAAGGAAACGTGGATTTCCACATATTGATTGGTCTGCCAGGGTGGTCCAACCTGGCAAGTTCTAGCCTCCACACCTGGCCCGATAAGGGGGGGGGGGGGCCATACCTCGCTGATTCCAAACAGAGCCCCGCTCCCACCACTCCGGGAGACCATCAGCGCCTGGCCCGCAGGTACCTTACCAGCGCCAGAGGATCGTCGTAGAGGCCCGGGCAGCTGTGCCCTTCCAGGCGGGCGGCCAGGGATGCCACAGCGGCCCTTTCTGTGTCCTGGCCGTTACGAATACTTCAAGTCTAGGGAACTGCACGACTGCCAATCAGCATGGCAGGTGGGTCAAGACTTAGCACGCCTCATGGTTTCAAAACTGTGAGGTAAAATCCTAATCCGTCAGGCAATGCATCAACGAACCGATGAACTGTCCACTTTGAGGTTTCTGACGAAACTGCGTCCTTCAATGCGTCCAGCTGGCCATGATTATCGCTGTTGCCGTTCGAAGACATGAGCGGATTGGGTGCATTGATTGCACCAAGCCCTGAAGCCTTCGTCAGGGTATGCAAGGAACTGCTGTGTATATCTCTTGTGCGTCCTTGCTTTATGCCCTGCTTGCCGGATTCTGAGTCCAACATCGTGCCTAGAGAAAGCAACATGAACTTCCGAATGATGCCAAGTGAACTCGGTTTTGAGTCTAGGATATAGGTGATTCAAGGAATACTGTAGAAGTGGCTTGAGAAACCTGGGACTCGCCACATCGTCAGGCAGCCTAGTCTCATCAGCTTTTCAAGCGATACACAGTTGCCTTTGCCACTGGCAGCCCCGTCCACTACCCAGTCTTGCTTTTGCCAGACTGGTCGCAGCACAAGCTTACGCGCTTCCTTTGAGCCTTTGAGCTGGTCACAGGACATTTGCGGCAAGGATCCAATCCATGGGGCCTGCGTCAGAGTCCGATGCCGTGCCTTCAAAGAGGCCCAGGACATCCCGGGACCCATCGGCCAACACAAATCCAGCGCCCCCAGCAAGCACCAAGGCCCTGGCATCCTGGCCACGTTCCCACCTCGGAGTCCGTTGCCCTTGCCAACCACACAGCAGCCAGCATGCTGACGATACATGCACTGGAATCTTCGGAAGATCAAATTCGACCTTCATCAAAACAAGTTTGGTCGCACTTAAATCAGCAAGCACTCTCAAACTGGCAATCAAAAACAAACTAAAAACCACACGTCTGCAGGGGTCCCAGGCTTGTTCCCACACAATACCACATCCTGCTCCAGACCCTGATGGGCTCCCAGGCTGTGCCAGCAAAAGGCCCACCTGCGCATGGGCCTTGGCCCTTCGCTTCGCCTCACAGGCAGCGTCTTCCGGGTAGGTTTGCTGTTCCAGTCAGAGGGAGGATGTTCCATAAATCGGGGCACGAATATATTTGGTACAGCCAGCAACTATGAAGTGTATGCAAGCTAACCAAACGGCACCACACACGAGCACGCGATAACTCTTTCATCCGAGCAGTGTGTTGGTGCCAGGGACTCATCTTCCCCTGTCAGATGACCAACGCTGGGTGGGCCCCATGGGCCACCCAACTCACAATTCTCAAAAACTGAAGAACGGGTGTGCAGACTGATAGCGCCCGCCCCTGAGCCGGGGCCCGTGGCACCCAGGCCACAGGGGGGTCTGCCACCAGGGGAAGTGAGTCACCCACCGGCTCCGGTCACGGGAGCATGGGTGGGTCCACGCTGAGATCAAATGCATCTCCATTCAGGAGACGCGGGAGAAAAACAAACTCCTCACAAAGTTCCTGCTTGGGGACCCTTTGCAAAGGGTCAAACCCAGAGAAGTCTGGGTGCGTCAGCTCATCAGCCCATTGATTGAATTCACGGGGCACATGGTTGGCCGCCAGCGAGCAGCCATGGGTGTGGAGCAGGAAGACCAGCTCCATCAGGATCGCCGCGGTGTAGGGCTTCTTGGATCCAAGGTTGAGCATCGCCATGACGTTGCCCTGATTGTCACTGCCCACCGGGAGTCGGACCCGGGAGGACAGAGGGCCTTGGTGCGTGAGGATCATGTTACAGAGGAAGAGCGTGCCCAGCATCTCCAGAGCTGCAATCCTCCGCTTTGGATCCCCATTCTTGAAAGCCCAAGGGTACTCCTCCACATGGATCTGCTCATGGAACCAGTACACCTCCTTCTTGTCCGGTTCCACCGTGTTGGAGCACCAACCTCCCACAAATGCCAGTCCGTCGTCCGAGGCGCTAGCGTCGCTGCAACCCCACCAGGAGGACTTCGGCAAGTAGGGGGAGTACTGGACGAAAGGCGTGTTAAAGAGGAACCGCAGCATGAACGCCAGCATCTTGACCACCTTAGGGGGTTTTCCCACCGTGGTGGTGGCCATCTTCCAGGCCCAAAGTGGCTGGAGCATCGATTTCGCCAGCGGACATGCGGCCGTTGCCCATTGGATGCGGCCCAGGGCCTTCTCGATGTCCTTCGAGTGCATCGCCTGCCCTTCCACCATGATCTGTAAAACCTCCATAACCAGGATGTGTTTGTTGGCCGCCATGAGAACCTGCGGGATGTTCGGGTGGACCACGAAGCCCAGCCACGTGTTAACCTCCGCCAAGTGCGTCTTCTTCCAGCTAAGTGGGGTGCCCAATGCCAGGAGAGTGGCCAGCAGCGCCACCGCCAAGTTCACTGCCCCCTCGCTTCGAAGCAGCCACAGGAAGTCGTCGACGAAGACGAAGTTCCAATCCACTTGAGGGAAAAGCGCGTAAAGGACCCTGAGCAGAAGGGCTGCCAGGCGTCCCCAGTAGGATTGGGCACTAGCCATGCCATATGTGCCTACCTTGTTCACCCACCATTCTTCCCCCAGTGAGGCCACCTGGAACCGCCAGTCCTTCCTGAGGACCTTCACTCTCCGGTGGGCCTTGGTGACGTCCGCCTTGAGCAGCACCCACCTGGTGCCCGGCTCCGGCCAGAGCCAGCCCCCAGGTGGAGGTTTGACGATCCCCCCCTCGGGGCCAGAGGCACCCTGAGAGGGGGGTCCCTCCTCGGCTGCCGCATGTAGCCAATGGAGAGCTTGGACCCCCATCCAACACCGTCGGAGCCGTCGTCCTCTCCACCGTCTGGTTTCTGATGGTGTCATTGGCCCCTCCCACCGAGCCATCGTAGATCGTGCGGATCTTGTCCCCCTCGTCGATTCCCGCCAGGGGGCCGGGACAAAGGTCCTCGCTGTCGCAGCCACATCGCGATGCTCCTTACTGAAGGGGCCCTCCACCATGCCCATGGGGACCTCCTCCAGAAATGTGCCCCGGATGAGCTCGCTGAAGTGATCCGCCGAGGGGTAGTTACCCCTGCGGGTGGGGGAGTTCCTGGAACTCCGGTTCCTCCCCTTTCAGCTCCTTCTTGAGTGGCCAGATGCCCGGCGAGGTCAGGGGCGGGTCCGTGACCCCCAGCGGGACCCCTTGTTCCAGGTCCGGGGAAACTGGTGTTCAGAGCCACGCTGTGCAAAATGTCCAGGAAGAAGGGTTGGCCGTCCGCTGGCCTGCCCCCGTCCCTGATGTCCTCCAGCAGGTCCTCCGGGAAGGGATGTGACCCCTCCCCCAAGAGCTTGAGGACACAGATCTTGGCCCCCAGCACTGCTGCTTTGGACAGCCACGGGGCCAACCGTCCCAATGAGGGCTTTCCTCCACCGTCTCTTAAGGGACGCTGCTTGAAAGGCATGTGGAGGTACATGACCTTGTCGGAGATATTGGGGTCGTGAGTGATCGGCAGGATGGTAGGCCGATCCGAAATCTCCATGCCCTGGTGTGCCCATGGGTCCAGGGGAAGAGTTCCCCCCCCAAGTTCCTCCACCTCGCCAGTCCTCTGTGTCGATGTCCCAGCCTCTGGAGTGTCCGAGGCCGAGACCGGAAGTGAGCCCGGGGTCAGACCTGCCAACGCTTGTTGGCCCGCCTTCAGCCTCCGGGACTGGCGCTTCTTGTCCCCCGGTGTGCTGGGAGAAGGCTCCCTTGGACGCCTCGGGGGGGTCGTTTAGCCTGGGGCGCCATGCCCCCCGGCCTCAGCGCCTCCAGGACGGGTCCCGCTCGGCAAAGGATGGCCGCTGCTAGACCCTGCATCATCTGCTCCGGGTACCGGCTGAGGTCACTGGAGTTGAGCTTTTCTCCCCTGGGGTGCGACCCGTGGTTGCAACGCAGGTCATGCCAATGGTGGAGAGGAAGGTCCGTTGACAATGCCGTGGACTTCACAACCACCTGGCCCAGGCGGCACTCATCAAACTTGATGAGGGAGTGGTGGAGTGCCCTCGCCCATTGAACGTAGGCCCGCGTGACCCAGATCGAAGAGCATCTCGCTGCGCTCGGGCTCTTGCTGCACTCCATCGGGTCCATCGGGTGCTCCAGGAAAGAGGAGCCAACCTGCGGGACCGTCAGCTGACCCAGCCCCTTGTAGGCCAGCGAGGTCAGGTACATCTGACGGAGCATGAGCACGCTGTCATTGTCCGTGTCCTCCAGAACCCGGGGCTCCAAGTCCTCTAAGCCCCACAAGGTCTGCTCTGCTCTGCCCCTCACCGGCGGCGGGCCACCCGGTTTGGGGAACCACTCCACGTCCTACAGTTGGGGCCACCTCCCACCAATGCGACCTTGCCCGCCATGGCCATGGAGCACATCGTCGAGTAAGGCTCCTCGCCCAGCATGTCCTGGCCCAGGTCACCGCCCTTTCTCCTGATATCCACCGCCCAAATGTACTCCGAGAAGGCCGGGTTGTAGGCATGGAGGTAGACATCCAGGGCCCCCGCATCATCCTTCCCAGCGTACAGCAGGATGAGGGACGGCTTTGAAGACCCCGGCGCTGGCCTCGGCGTCCATCCCCCCGTCATCAGTCCCCGGGCTTGATGCTTGTCCTGGCGGTTCTTCCCGCCCTTGGAACGCCCCTTGCTGGGCAGATCCTCACCTCTGGGTCTCTCTGGGGGGTCTTCCCACTGCCTCGGTGGGTGCGGGGGAAAGGGATGCTTCCGCCCTTCTGGAGTGCCCTGGCTGGGACCGCTCCTCTTCTTCGGTGGAGGGGCTTCCGGGGCCGGTGGCACCCTGGAGAAGTCCCCCCCCATCTGAGGCCGTCCTGGCCTCCCCCGCTCTGTCTGCCTTCCGCTGTGGCTCTGGTGGGGCTGGCTCTCCCCCTCTGTGTGCACTCTCGCACTGGTGGCCTGTGATCCCAACTGAGACTGGGAAGCCACGGCACCTATGGCACCCTGGGTGGCCTCCTGTCACTTGGGAAGGTGAGGGTGTGGCGAATGCTTCGATGGGGGGGCATCACACACCCACCCATCCTTCCTGACCGGGCAGTTGTGGGAACGGCCGCACGATCCCGAGCACTTGCCGTGGAGGAGATGATCTCTGCAGTACGCCACCCCTTTGGGATTCTTGAAAGCCCAGTGGTCCGGCCACCCTTCGGCTTGGACCGGGTCGGCCCCGAGGGCCAGGCGCCTTTCCCCCCCTTCTCCGGCTTCTCCCACTGAGTCTGCCACACCTTAGGTGCCTTGCCCTTGTTCTTCCCCTTCTCCGGCGCCC